GACACGGCAATTTCGCGCATAAACTGGCGAAATTCGCCTTAACCAGCAACGTACTCTGCCCTTGCCTGAGTAATGAAGAATCATCGCAACACGTACTCCTCGAATGCAACTTGTACACCGAGCAACGCGAAGAACTACGAAGAAGATGTGAGGAACTTCGGGTAACTTGGCCTCCACTGATGAGAGACCTAATGCGCGATAAACTATACAAAGTACTGTCTAGCACAGTGAGAGACATACTCCGGAAGAAGACAGTTGGCAACTTAACAAAACCAGGATACGTTAAGTAAATTTATGGGTAAGGTGGCCCCGACCGCGGTAGCAGGCGGTGCCCCGGCAATGAAGCGGTGGGGCCTAATGGCGAAGGCGAGCGACCGGAGCCGACCTGCGCGGGATCGGGCGAAAGCCGGCGGCTCTACCTTCACGTGGTCCCCGCTGGACACCTCTCGTTTCGCGAAGCGAGAGAAGTGACTAAACGAGCCACTTCCCCCCGGGATAGATCCAACTTGTCCAATGACACTCCCTCCGGGCGAGCAGAGGGCAGGGTTTTTCCAAGCTCAAGTCCAGTACACCATCTACACTGGGCGCTTCCCTTCGCGGGCGGTTTCGCTGGAGAGATAATCCTCCAACTCCACCTGGCTGGCCAAGCCGATATAAGGGAAACCCTGAGGAGCGAAGCCCCGCAATGCGACCAACGGCCGACATCAACTGTTCCTATCTACTCCCCTCAGGGGCTCCAGTGGGCCAGAAAACCCCTGTAGTGCGGGCTTAGCGACCCTGGGGTTACCCGATGCGCTGACTAACCAGTGCCGAGTGTTGTGGGGCACCATACATGGGAGAGGCTGCGTCCTCGAACATCCGATCAGTGATGCTTTGCTGGTACCACGGGGACCGGACTGCCCGCGGGGGGCGTCTGTGGGCGTTCCCCGGTCCGGCCGCGGGAGGTTATTCCGTATGCTGGCTAGCGGGCTTCGGCTTGCGGCGGGTGTGCTGCGTCTCCACAGCTCGGACACCAGCCTGTCAGAGCTGGTAGAGTGTTTGGAAAGTGCACTCGGCTCCACCAGAAGTCTGGTTCATGGTCCCACAAGTGCCGGTTCCGCTCTGGTAGTCCCAGCTTCGGCGGGGACGCGTTGATTGGACGTATTCCAATCTCGCGCCCATGGGGACCGTGTGGTAAAACCGTAATAGTAGGCACCGCACGTCAAATCTCTATCGACATCTATCCCTATCTACTGACGATGTGCACATGATGGTGGCTCAAATAAACTATAATGAAATCGACTTATACATTGTCAATGTATACTGTTAGTTCTCGATAAATATCGAGACGATATTGATCAAATTGGATAAAGTATTTAGCGAAATAAATCTGGACAGAGTACTAGTTGTTGATGCA